TGTAAAGATATGAATATGAAGACCGCATGGCACTATGATAAACACGATATAGAAATGAAAGAAAGTTACAGTGCTTTGTTTCTTCTATGTTGGTTTTAATTTTCCGAGCTTTCGGACAACTTGTCCATCATCAGGGCAAAATGAAATTACAATGCGTATGTGAGGATACAAATGTAAACAAAACACTATGGTAACATAACTGCTTAAGAGCGCGCAATAGTTCAAATCAATTAACATTTCTTATAAAGAACTCAACACAATTGCGCTCCTGATTTTTCGTGTAATACTCCAATTTCGAGTTCTGGTTTGCTCTGTGTTAGCCTCAAAACCAAGTAACATATTCTTTTGTTTCATCGATAGCTCGAGAAAACGCATGGAATTTGAAACGAAAGACAATAGAATTGATTTGAAATCTCACACTTTTACGCTCACAACTAAGGAATATTTTGCGCATAAGTGAGGCTAACACAGAGCATTGGATAATTCGAAACTGGAGTATTTCTATGCACGCGCAGAATGTAAATTGATTTGAACTAACTAGCTACACTCTTCCGGTTAATGTTAACTCTTCAGTCAATCAAGTCCATGTTGCTCTTCTTTTTTAAGGTGCCGCAGCGAGCTTGTAATTTCTGAGGGTTTTGTAACCTATGGAGGGTTAGCTGGTCGTGACCTGGAAGCGATGGCTGTTGGTTTACAGGAAATTCTCCAAGAACCTTACCTGGAATACCAGATTGAGTTCGTTAAACGTTTCGCCGACATGCTGATAAAAGCTGGGGTCCCAGTCCTTACTCCACCTGGCGGACATGCGGTAGGCCTGAGCACTATTATGAACGCAAAGCAGTTATAGTCAGTCACTCAGCCGGTCTTTCCAAAACATTTCAGGTCTACATCGATGCAGAAGAAATGCTTCCTCATATTCCAAAACCGATGCTCCCAGCTTGGTCGCTTTGCTGTGCTCTCTACATAGAAGGAGGAATAAGGGGGGTCGAAATAGGAGAAGTGATGTTTGGTGGGTCAGTAAGACTGCCGCCCAACTTCAACAAGAATGCGGACATAGACAATGGCGACGATAACGAAGACCCTGAGCTTGTGCGTCTAGCAATACCACGACGAGTGTACACTGAGTCACATATGAGGTGAATATTTTAATTTTTTTCTAGTACTTGCCGCGGTTGCCGTTTCCAAAGTACGTTCATGCATGTTAATTTTTCTGCTGTTCTTTAATAATCTCTGATGAAAGCGTTACTATGGTAATTGCCAAGGAGTTTATTGTTGCGATGAAAATTGGGTATGGTGATGATATGTTTCCACTAGCAATTGCTATAAAGACGATGATGTTACTGCWATGGAAACAATGATTGCCATGGAGATGCATGGTGATTACGATGACAATTACTGTGGTGATAATTAATGCGATGCTTTGCCATGGAGATGATGATGATTGCAATGGCAATTGCTATGGAGACGATGATTGCTTTGCCATTTTCATGGATCCGGAAATGTTTTTTCTTCTTTTTGGACAGGTATGTTGCAGATGTACTTGCTAAAATTGTGAAAAACAAACAAAATCTTGTTGGTTATACAATCGTCTGGGCACCAAAAGCATTACGTCATTTCTCTGCACACTTGGCTCCATTCTCCGCGGATAGGATTCAACAGAAGTCAAGACCCGCATTTGGGAAGAAAGTGTCGACTGGATGCATTCCTTTCCAAAGTAGAAGACGACGATCGTCTGTTATTGATTAGATTTTGTCTTGATATGTACTTAATTTCTTATAAGGTATTAAATATATCAATTGMCCAAATCTTGATGTTATTCTGGGTATAATTTCTCGAGATCGGAATTCTTAATCTACTGAAAGTTTTTGAGTGGAACCAGGACTTTGAGATAGCAATCCTGAAGAAGATTAAGTGCTGTTTGCACTTCCTCCAAAGAATATGAAAGCATGATCGCCTATTTTCTCAACCTCACTCACAGGGCTTCACCACTCGTTTTTCAACAAAATAGGCAGTCGAGGACTGCATGTGACTCAGGCCATTAAGAGATTTAGTAACTTCAAATACACTATCTTCTGCAAGGAACTGGAAGCATTACGTTG